AAGAAATTCATTCCAAGCGTCTGTTGTATCGTTTGGATGCACAAACTTTGTTTGTATAAGGAATGCCACTCTCAAAGTTCATATGATCTGCTCTAAACTGTTTACTCGAGAGAGCAAAGCCTGAAGGGATCACACCCTCTTTAATTAAATAATCGCTTTTATCTTTAATAGTTCTTTGTCCATTGTACGGAATACCTAGACCATGGCTAGGTCCTTTAATGCGCCAATCTTTACTAGTAGAAACATTAAATTCATTACAAATACGTTCGAAGGCCCTCTTATTATAATGATTATTTGCGTGATTCCATGCTGGATCCAGCGGTAATGGAGCACTAATTTCTTTAAGTATACGTCTAATCTGATAGTAAACGTGAAATAATATAACAGACTTATATAGTTTAAATCCTGGGGCATTAACAGATACACCACATCCCGTTGTGGCACACCATATGGCAAAGTTTAACTGATTCTGCCAAAATTGCATCGGACGGTTAAACCAGTCGTCCACCATTGTATCGTATTGTGACAGTATTTCTCTTTCTAAGATATTCTTGCCGTATAATATACATTTGATAAGGTTGATGTATAGTCTCAAAACATTTAAGCAAGACCAATTAAAGACTATTATATGATCGTAATATACACTATGAGTTTATATCCAGCGCTCGATGAAGCATTTGAAAAGATGGATACTGTTGATGGATTTCGATTACATCAAATAAGCGACATAAAACATCGAATAGAGAAGGATAGGGAGTTGAGACTTGGATTGTATAAAAAGTATCGCAGAGCCGTGAATGCTCTGGACGGAGTTGACACCGCGCTTGTAGTATCTGGCATGGGACTCGGTGTAGCGGGTATCGGTTAACTATCAACTATAATCGCCGCGCCTATCGTGCTCGGTATGGAAATAACCGCTGGAGTCTCGGGACTGGCAGGAATAGCTATAAAATTCATTTCTCGTAGGTTGCAAAAGAAAGCATTAAAACACGATAGTATTCGGATACTCGCCGAAGCAAAGTTGAACAGCATTGAGGATCATATTTCGACAGCAATGGCTGATTGTAAGATATCCGAGGATGAGTTTCGTTTAGTGCTGTCGGAACTCTCCAAATACAATAAAATGAAGCAGGAGATTCGATCAAAATCTCATAAGACCAATGGTATTAGCGAAGACGAGAAAAAAAAGTTCATAGAACAGGGGAGGCAACAAGCGCGTCAATTTTCCGTGCCAAAACCAAAGAACTGGTTGGAGATTAAAAATAGATTGTTTACTATCGTGTGATTACATTGAGACAAATGCTTACATAAATATATATAATAGTGGAGATCGAAAAAGCTATTAAATGGAGAGAATTACCACAAGGTTTTTATTATATCAGTAATGTCAAACCAACCAAATACGGTTATCAATTGTTTCTTATCAATTTACAAGAAGAGTGTAGTTATATAGTCTGGTCTTCTAGTAAAATGAACGAAGAACTTAATAAAAATGTTGAATATCGCTTTATAGATAAAAATAATGAAGAATATTTTTATTACCATTTAGGCTCATCTAAAGCAATGATTTGCCCCAGGTATTGGCGAGCTAGAGCCAATTTATCTTAAACTCATGACTATCGTTAAATCGCATAATCATTTTGGCATAAAAAATCCCCCCTGTAGTAGCAGTATAGGTAATAAATCTGGCTCCAGTGGAAGTGAGCCAGAACCCCCATTACCTATAAAACATTTGTATCATAGACTCCAGGTGGTGGTGAGCTGGAGTCAATTTAACTTAATCTAATGACTATCGTTGAATCACATCATCATTTACGCATAAAAAATTCCCTATGTAGTGGTGGTATAGGTATATGAATCTGGCTCCAGTGGAAGTGAGCCAGAACCATCATTACCTATACTACTACTGGTGGCCATATGGCTACTAGTTAAAAAATAAAACTTTGAGGCCTGCTAGGTGGGAGCAGGAGGTCATGAAGACCTAGGTGGGAGCTGTGTGGTTGTCATGGAGACCTAGGTGGGAGCAGGGTGATGATGAAGACCTAGGTGGGAGCTGTGTGGTTGTCAAGGAGACTTAGGTGGGAGCAGGGTGGTCATGAAGACCTAGGTAGGAGCTGTGTGGTTGTCATAGAGTAGGTGGGAGCAGGGTGGTCATGAAGACTGAGTTGGGGCAGGGTGGTTTTCATGAAAGTCTTTATGCTGGCATAAATTCTTTATTTCTTGTCAGTACCTGTATAGCTGTTGATCCAGCCAATGATTAACCTGCTAAATGCTTCATGGTATCAAAGTGGGATAAGTTTCTTCAGGGTCAGTCCATGGAGCTTCATTCGTAACCTGTAATATGCAGATGTGTGACATAGAAAACATTTCCAGTGGAACATGCTTAAGTGCATGTAATGTTTATGCTATGCAATTATTCTGAGTGCCGCTTGCAGCGTTAGAAATTCGCACTAGTCCTGTAGTCCTTACCAAACTGCCTAATAGTTAAGGTATCATAAGGACTAGTAGAAATTGGCCCTTTTTAAGGGTTTTGCTATATGTTATCAATATAAGGACTAGTGGACTGAAAACTGTTAGTTTCTAACCCTGGTTTGTAGGATTTGATATGTATGGCCTCCCAATTAAAATGGAAGTGGAAATTGCTCCATGTGGAATGAACATTGTGATCAGAAAGTATCAATAAATAATATGAATAAAGCCAATTGTCAGTTATCATCAGGAATACAGTCTTGGAGTTAGCTTGTGTATTGCCAGCCTGACCATGCTGATTAACACTGTTATTTTAGTTACAGGTTCAGTGTTAAAACCTGCTATCCAAAGACACTTCAACATTGAATGGCAGCTTAAAATAGTAACAGTCAATTCAGATATAATTTGAGATAGTTTTATTGACAAATTAAGGGTTGGACTTTAATAAATATTTCCTTGGGTTTTGAGGGAGCAGAATGTATAGAATGTTTTCATTAGGTGTGGCTAGTACACTCGTGTTGATATGGGTAGATAACATTAAGTGACTAGGCCTTATAGAAGTCCTCTTGTCCTAAATTGTACTGACAAGCACAATGTGTTTTGCACATCTTAAGCCTGTCATCCAATGGTGAAATGGCTCATGGTATACTCTTACATAATGACAAGAAATTAGAAAGGCATGTATGTGATTGGTGAGTAGACAGTTCCTTAGTTGCAGTAAAGAGGGAATTTGAACATGTTGATATGGAAGATTATTTCAGGTCTTTTCTAAAATTATGTTCAATTAGTTTGGCACATGTAGACGTAATTAAAAACACTTTATGTGTGTAATGGTAGGGAAATATATGCAGCTCACATCATTTGTACACCCATCTGTTGCTATGTATGTACGGCATGAACTGCGCCAAGCTACATATGTATACCACTACTTACTATTTTAGAATTGTTAACACAAACACACATAAGCATGGTTTTTACTAGTGCACCTTAACAGCGGCCTCAACATAAATGTGGAGCCACTGGGCCTTATGATGAATTGAAACCACTGGGCCTTATGATGAAGGTGAAACCACTGGGCTTCATGATGAAGGTGAAACCACTGGGCTTCATGATGAAGATGAAACCACTGGGCCTTATGATGAAGGTGAAACCACTGGGCTTCATGATGAAGGTGAAACCACTCAAGATAAAGATGAAACCGCTAGGCCTCATGATGAAGGTGAAACCACTGGGCTTCATGATGCTGGTGAAACCACTGGGCCTCATGATGAAGGTGAAACCAATGGGCCTCATGATGAAGGTGAAACCACTGGGCTTCATGATGAAGGTGAAACCACTAAGCCTCATGATGAAGGTGAAACCACTGGGCCTCATGATGCAGGTGAAACCACTATGCCTCATGATGAAGGTAAAACCACTGGGCCTCATGATGCAGGTGAAACCACTGGGCCTCATGATGAAGGTGAAACCACTGGGCTTCATGATGAAGGTGAAATCACTGGGCTTCATGATGAAGGTGTAACCACTGGGTTTCATGATGAAGGTGAAACCCTTGGGCCTCATGATGTAGGTGAAACCACTCATGATGAAGGTGAAACCACTAGGCCTCATGATGAAGGTGAAACCACTGGGCTTCATGATGCAGGTGAAACCACTGGGCCTCATGATGAAGGTGAAACCAATGGGCCTCATGATGAAGGTAAAACCACTGGGCCTCATGATGAAGGTGAAACCACTGGGCTTCATGATGCAGGTGAAACCACTGGGGCTTATGATAAAGGTGAAACCACTGGGCCTCATGATGAAGGTGAAACCCTGGGCTTCATGATGAAGGTGAAACCACTCATGGTGAAGGTGAAACCACTGGGCTTCATGATGAAGGTGAAACCACTGGGCTTCATGATGCAGGTGAAACCACCGGGCCTCATGATGAGGGTGAAACAAAGGGGCCTCATGATGAAGGTGAAACCAATGGGCTTCATGATGAAGGTGAAACCACTGGGCCTCGTGATTAAGGTGAAACCACTGGGCTTCATGATGCAGGTGAAACCACTGGGCCTCATGATGAAGGTGAAACAAAGGGGCCTCATGATGAAGGTGAAACCAATGGGCTTCATGATGAAGGTGAAACCACTGGGCCTCGTGATTAAGGTTAAACCAATGGGCTTCATGATGAAGGTAAAACCACTGGGCCTCATGATGAAGGTGAAACCACTGGGCTTCATGATGAAGGTGAAACCAATGGGCTTCATGATGAAGGTGAAACCACTGGGCCTCATGATGAAGGTGAAACCACTGGGCTTCATGATGCAGGTGAAACCACTGGGCCTCATTATGAAGGTGTAACCAAAGGTGATTGTTTTCTTTTCATTGAAACATGTTGTTTTGTTTCATGACAAGTTATTTAACCAACTCTAGCCCAAACATCAGTCCATCAGGTTATCACAAGATGTTGAAAATATGGTAGCCAGGTACGACAATGGTGCCCCTATGTTTGCCTTTGTAGTGTATGAGTGTCTGTGTTTTTGCAGCCAGTATGCTGGGAGTATGGTGACAGAAGTGAAGGAGTTGTCTGGTAGCTCCGGTACGGTGGTGCACATTCCCTCTATGGCTGTCAGAGGCAGCTCCAACAACAGGAATGATGTGGAACACTTTCACCATGAAGAACACAGAATCAATGCCAAGGTAAATAATCGTTGCTTGCTCTGTATTTGTAACTCAACGTGTTTGTCCGGGGTAGCAGGGTTGCTGCCATTTACGCAGGCTGGGAGTTGTTTTCATGTTCATGTGGGTGGTAGCAGGTGGTTGTCATGGTGTTCCATAAACATCCATTGGTAGCAGTAAAGTTTGGGAAAAGGGGAGGTAGCAGGATGGTCATGAAGACCTGGGTGGTAGGTGGCTGTTTGTCCTGAAGACCTGGGTGGTTGGAGACTGGTTGTCATGAAGACCTGGATGGTAGTTGGCAGGTTGTCATAAAGACCTGAGTGGGAGCAGGGGATTCATGAAGACCTGGGTGGGAGCAGGTTGGTCCTGAAGACCTGGGTGGGAGCAGGGTGGTCCTGAAGACCTGGGTGGTAGGAGGCTGGATGTCATGAAGACCTGGGTGGGAGCAGGGTGGTCATGACAACCTGGGTGGGAGCAGGGTGGTCCTGAAGACCTGGGTGGGAGCAGGGTGGTCCTGAAGACCTGGGTGGTAGGAGGCTGGATGTCATGAAGACCTGGGTGGGAGCAGGGTGGTCATGACAACCTGGGTGGGAGCAGGGTGGTCATGAAGACCTGGGTGGTAGGAGGCTGGTTGTCATGATGACAAAGGTGGGAGCTGTGTGGTTTGGGTGAACATTGTTTGGTAGCATTATAGTTTGGCAACACAATCTCTTCAAGAGATATTTGTTAATTTCACACCACTTGCCACAACATTCTACAGACAGGGTAGGGGACATTAGCATTTGGATGCTATTAATGAGATGCCACTGTTACGTGTTCTGACCAAAATTTGTTGCCACACCTACTTATATTATCCTATGGAGCACAATTTGGCATTTAGTGACCTACAAGTTCTTCCAAGACTATTTGAAACTGCCTGCCAACCCTCATGCCCATGACCCTCAAGAGTTGTGCATATCATCTTCCAAGGTGACTGGAATATCATCTTCCAAGGTGACTGGAATATCATCTTCCAAGGTGACTGGAATATCATCTAAGGTGCCGTGGTTCCCAGAGTTGTATCCCTAGGCATGCCAGCAACCTAGATACCTGGGTTTGAATCCCGATTGGCTCTGTTTGGGTTTGTCAGCACTATACCCATGCTCTTGGGTTTCACCAAGTGGTACTGAGACCTGCATCATTTGGAGCTTTCCTCTCACATTCAGCTAACACATATGCAGCTTGACCAGTATGTTCCAATATCATGGACAATGGGGCAAAGAATCCCTCCCACTATTACTTAAAATCTTCAGGAATTTGACTGTTTTCTGAAATGCAGATATGTGAATTCACTTTACCATGCCCAAACATGATATAGAGAATTTATAAAAAGCCGACGAAAATGACTGCAGATGCATTATTAAGCTTCATGAAAGAAATGCTTGTTAGTTGAATGTCACAGCTTGAGTTTCATTGGTAGTTGATATTTTACAAGTGATTTAAGGGCAGTTAAAGGCACAGCTTTGTATGTAGTGTAGCGTAGTGTGTAGTGTAGTCTAGTGTAGTGTGTAATGTCATGTAGTGTAGTGTAGTGTAGTGTATGTAATGTCGCATTTTGTTTGTTGTTTAACGCCGCACTTAGCAATATTCCAGCTATCTGACAGCGGTCTGAAAGAAATCGAGTCTGAACCAGACAATCCAGTGATTGACATCATGAGCATTGATCCATGCAATTTGGATCGATGACAAGCATCAACCAAGTCAGCGAACCTGACCACCCGATCCCATTAGTCGCCTTTACGACAAGCATAGTCGCCTTTTATGGCGAGCATGGGTTGCCGAAGATCTGTTCTACCCCGGATCTTCACTGGTCTGTAGTGTAGTGTAGTGTCATGCTGTGTCATATTGTGTTATGTATGTCGTGTTGTGTAATGTGTGTAGTGTAGTGTCATGCTGTGTCATATTGTGTTATGTATGTCGTGTTGTGTAATGTGTGTAGTGTAGTGTCATGCTGTGTCATATTGTGTTATGTATGTCGTGTTGTGTAATGTGTGTTGTGTTGTGTCGTAGCGTGTCATATTGTGTTATGTATGTCGTGTTGTGTAATGTGTGTTGTGTTGTGTCGTAGCATGTCATATTGTGTTATGTATGTCGTGTTGTGTAATGTGTGTAGTGTAGTGTCATGCTGTGTCATATTGTGTTATGTATGTCGTGTTGTGTAATGTGTGTTGTGTTGTGTCGTGGCATGTCATATTGTGTTATGTATGTCGTGTTGTGTAATGTGTGTTGTGTAATGTGTGTAGTGTAGTGTCATGCTGTGTCATATTGTGTTATGTAAGTCGTGGTGTGTAATGTGTGTTGTGTTGTGTCGTAGCATGTCATATTGTGTTATGTATGTCGTGTTGTGTAATGTGTGTAGTGTAGTGTCATGCTGTGTCATATTGTGTTATGTATGTCGTGTTGTGTAATGTGTGTTGTGTTGTGTCGTGGCATGTCATATTGTGTTATGTATGTCATGTTGTGTAATGTGTGTTGTGTAATGTGTGTAGTGTAGTGTCATGCTGTGTCATATTGTGTTATGTAAGTCGTGTTGTGTAATGTGTGTTGTGTTGTGTCGTAGCATGTCATATTGTGTTATGTATGTCGTGTTGTGTAATGTGTGTAGTGTAGTGTCATGCTGTGTCATATTGTGTTATGTATGTCGTGTTGTGTAATGTGTGTAGTGTAGTGTCATGCCGTGTCATATTGTGTTATGTATGTTGTGTTGTGTAATGTGTGTTGTGTTGTGTCGTAGCGTGTCATATTGTGTTATGTATGTCGTGTTGTGTAATGGGTGTAGTGTAATGTGTGTAGTGTAATGTGTGTTGTGTTGTGTCGTAGCATGTCATATTGTGTTATGTATGTCGTGTTGTGTAATGTGTGTAGTGTAGTGTCATGCTGTGTCATATTGTGTTATGTAAGTCGTGTTGTGTAATGTGTGTTGTGTTGTGTCGTAGCATGTCATATTGTGTTATGTATGTCGTGTTGTGTAATGTGTGTAGTGTAGTGTCATGCTGTGTCATATTGTGTTATGTATGTCGTGTTGTGTAATGTGTGTAGTGTAGTGTCATGCCGTGTCATATTGTGTTATGTATGTTGTGTTGTGTAATGTGTGTTGTGTTGTGTCGTAGCGTGTCATATTGTGTTATGTATGTCGTGTTGTGTAATGGGTGTAGTGTAATGTGTGTAGTGTAATGTGTGTTGTGTTGTGTCGTAGCATGTCATATTGTGTTATGTATGTCGTGTTGTGTAATGTGTGTAGTGTAGTGTCATGCCGTGTCATATTGTGTTATGTATGTCGTGTTGTGTAATGTGTGTTGTGTTGTGTCGTAGCGTGTCATATTGTGTTATGTATGTTGTGTTGTGTAATGTGTGTAGTGTAGTGTCATGCTGTGTCATATTGTGTTATGTATAACGTGTTGTGTAATGTGTGTAGTGTAGTGTCATGCCGTGTCATATTGTGTTATGTATGTCGTGTTGTGTAATGTGTGTAGCGTAGTGTCATGCCGTGTCATATTGTGTTATGTATGTCGTGCTGTGTAATGTGTGTTGTGTTGTGTCGTAGCGTGTCATATTGTGTTGTGTATGTTGTGTTGTGTAATGTGTGTAGTGTAGTGTCATGCTGTGTCATATTGTGTTATGTATAACGTGCTGTGTAATGTGTGTAGTGTAGTGTCATGCCGTGTCATATTGTGTTATGTATGTCGTGTTGTGTAATGTGTGTAGCGTAGTGTCATGCCGTGTCATATTGTGTTATGTATGTTGTGTTGTGTAATGTGTGTTGTGTTGTGTCGTAGCGTGTCATATTGTGTTATGTATGTCGTGTTGTGTAATGTGTGTTGTGTAATGTGTGTAGTGTAGTGTCATGCTGTCTCATATTGTGTTATGTATGTCGTGTTGTGTAATGTGTGTTGTGTTGTGTCGTAGCGTGTCATATTGTGTAATGTAATGTAGTTTTATGTTGCGTTGCGTTGCATTGCATTGCGTTGCGTTATGTAACGTAACGTAACGTAACGTAAACCTAACGTAATGTTATGTATTGTAATGTATGTAATATATATAGCTCCCAAACAAATGCTTTTGACATACAGGTCATACAGCAATATATGTGTCTTTGGTCAGAGCTATTGGGATTAATTAGCATTTGATAAATACCCATGTCTGTTGCAGGTGCCGCAGCACAACAAGTTCATCACTTCACTCATTGCTGGAGCCCTGGCTGGAGCTGTGGCCAAGACCACCATAGCTCCACTGGATAGAACAAAAATAAATTTTCAGAGTAACTGTCCTTCATTCTAGTTTTATCCTACTTGATCCCATCATCGTCGGGGACTTCTGCCATAGCTAGTTGTCCATTGTTGGTCATTTGTTTGTTGTTTAAAATGGTAATTCAGTGGCTTGAAACTACTCAGTGCTGCCGTGCCCTTGGCACACATAAAAGAAATATAATATCTACTTTAAGTTTATGTGCTAGTTTCCCAGCTTCCCCATTAGTTGCATGTTCCAGTAGGGCTAATCAACATCCTGTTGTAATTCACTTCCTGTGATTCACGTAGACTCTATCTTGTAGACATTTGATGAGATGTTCAAGATTGCACAAAATACATTTGAATGTACTTCTTTCCATATTTTGACAGAATATCACGAATATTAAGTAGGTATTGCATTTCAAAGGCAGTGGTTATTCACATTGACTGTTGTGAAATGCCAAACAATCACTATTTGGCAATATGGAAGAATCTGAAAAGAAAAATTCCACTATAGCAGAAAAGTTACTGCAAGAAAAACAGTCTATACCGCTGCCACCGCCGCCTCCGCCGAGTGCTAGTGCAAACTTTGAAATTGAAACAAATCCCTGAGAAGCAAATATTGATTGTAGACACGACTGACATGTGTGATAGTACAGATGTAATCAGCCTGAGGTATTCACAGTAACTGGACGCTTACAAACTACAAGTTGTGGTAAATATGTGGCGGGGCTGAAAATTGAATATAATGCAAAATTTGCAAAGAGTATGTAGAGTCTATGGTCAACCAGTTGGAAAAAATGGGAAAATAATGTTTTTCTTCAATGGTACAAGGGATTTCAGAACCATTAACTTTAAAACACATTTACAATCCAGTGAATATTTAAAGGTGTTCAATATGCACTTTTAACAAGCAAGTGAATCACAGTTGGAAAAAGGTGTAACTGACTTAATATGTCATTAAATATTTTGATCTAATGGATTAGCAGCCTTTTGTTTTAATTATTGGGAAATATAAACATGGCACAACTAAATCTAAAATGGCACACCTGAAAAACAGGTCCAGTATCCTTGGGCACACCTGAATAACAGGTCCAGTACCCTTGGGCAAACCTGAAAAACAGGTCCAGTACCCTTGGGCACATCTGAAAAACAGGTCCAGTACCCTTGGGCACACCTGAATAACAGGTCCAGTACCCTTGGGCAAATCTAAATAACAGGTCCAGTACCCTTGGGCACACCTGAATAACAGGTCCAGTACCTATGGGCACGCCTGAATAACAGGTCCAGTACCCTTGGGCACGCCTAAATAATAGGTCCAGTACCCTTGGGCACATCTGAAAAACAGGTCCAGTACCCGTGGGCACACCTGAATAACAGGTCCAGTACCCTTGGGCACACCTGAAAAACAGGTCCAGTACCCTTGGGCACATCTGAATAACAGGTCCAGTACCCTTGGGCACACCTGAATAACAGGTCCAGTACCCTTGGGCACATCTGAAAAACAGGTCCAGTACCCTTGGGCACACCTGAATAACAGGTCCAGTACCCTTGGGCACACCTGAATAACAGGTCCAGTACCCTTGGGCACGCCTGAATAACAGGTCCAGTACCCTTGGGCACGCCTGAATAACAGGTCCAGTACCCTTAGGCACATCTGAAAAACAGGTCCAGTACCCTTGGGCACACCTGAAAAACAGGTCCAGTACCCTTGGGCACATCTGAAAAACAGGTCATACTACAAATAATGAAACTTTGTACTTGCAGTCAGCAACACCCGATTCTCGTTTCGTCAAGCTATCCGTTTTCTGCACCTGACATTCAAGGATGAGGGCTTCCTGCGCTTGTGGCGTGGCAACTCGGCAACCATGGCCAGAATTGTGCCATACGCTGCTATCCAGTACGCTGCTCATGAGCAGTACAAGTGGCTCCTCCTCAAGGACAAGAGGAAAAAGTGAGAAGGATTTTTTGTGTACTACATAACTACAAATTGTATTTTGATACATTGCAATCAGAAAGCTAGAATAACAAAATTATGTCAATAACATTACTGAGCTACACTCAACTTTTTCACACACACACAGACTAACCCTTTCACAACCTTTGCCCACACCAGAGCCGGTTGCTTTTGAACATATATTCCTGGTAAACCAAGATTCTACCTCCATGATGATTAGAATTATCAGATGGTTTGATGTTTGTGTGTGAAAAGATGCTACCTGAATCACAGTGAACATCTGACAATATGTATCCAATGTTGTTGCAGACATCTGCCCCCTGGGAGAAGGTTCCTGGCAGGTGCTCTGGCTGGGACCACCTCTGTGGCCTGCACCTACCCCCTTGACATGGTGCGGGCTAGAATGGCAGTCACAGCTAAGGAAAAGTAAGTGACTAATTCAGAGTTCTGGTGTTGAAGTACATGTACTTGAAACCTGGGACAGCATGTGGATGTGATTGGTTCATTAATGTCTAGTCTGGCGCAGGAAATGTTCAAAATAGGGTTTGAAAATTGGAGGAACTGTATCATATCAATGTTTAATCATTTCTGTTTTCCATTTTTTTTATTCTATTGAACAAATCTGAAATGGTGTTTGTATTGAAGACTGCTACATTTATAAGGAACACACTTATGACGGACTGACGGATATAACACATATGATGCTATACATACATCAACTACAGACTGTAATCACCACACAATGGCGGTGATTAACACACAACTAGAGTTCACATATGATGCTATACATACATCAACTACAGACTGTAATCACCACCCATATGTGGTGCTTAATGCAACTTTGTGTGAAAGCTTGGGTACAAGACAACTTGTGTATTAATGATTGGAATATTGGGTTTTCATTGCGTCAAGTTTTGGGTGTCCTCCATAAGGTCAAGGTCACATGAGGTCAAATTATGAAACATGATTAAAATGTCATGAAATTTCAAATAAAAAATCAAAGGTTTTTGTTAAGATGAATTCAAAGTAACTAACTCAACACCTATCATATGTCATGAATGTGTTCAATGTCAAAGTTGCTTTAAGGTCATTTAATCATGAAGTTTCATTCAGGAAATATTCTCAATGTAGTATGGAGGCTCCTTGCATGTGACTGGTAATGTCGTACACAATTTCTTGAGCGTTCATGATTGGAATTCACTGAAATTTTATACACATGATCTCTTGGCAGTTCATAACTGAGAGGGGCGGTCGGGTAGCCTAGTGGTTAAAGCGTTTGCTCATCACGCCAAAGGCCCGGGTTCGATTCCCGACATGGGTACAATGTGTGAAGCCCATTTCTGGTGTCCCCCACTGTGATATTGCTGGAATATTGCTAAAAGCGGCGTAAAACCATACTCGTTCACTCACTCATAACTGAGATGTAAGGTCAAGTCATAAACCTAAAGTGTTTGTAATTATGTTAATAAGGTTCCTTGTGGCTGAGGACGTTCTATTTCAAAGTTGTGCTGCATTGGGCATGTGTTTTTCAAACTGGAAGTGGTGTTATTAAACCAGAAATGCTTGTAACTTTGTTATTAAAGGTAGCAACCACTGTACTTTGTCAACTGTCAACTGATGTGATCAAGTCAGTATGATTCATGACAACCGATATGTTGGTGTTTGCTAGGGGTAGGGTATGATGAAAGACAATCTTTTGTTGTAGGTATCAGAACCTGAAGGAGGTGATCATGAAGACATATAAAGAGGAGGGTGTACGCACTCTGTACAGAGGATTCACTCCCACGATACTCGGCTCCATTCCATACTCAGGGACAAGCTTCTTCACTTATGAGAGTCTTAAGAAATTACATGCTGGTATGATTACTTGCCTTGCCTTACAATCTCTGGTGAACACTTTCTATCTTGGACACCTTAATGTTGAATAGGGGGCATGTTGGCACTCCTAAGGTGCTGCATTTTGTTGTGCAAAGTTGTGTCCCTTTGCGCATGATGGAAACAAATCCTAGTTTGCCGAGATTATGTTTCTAGTTCTGTCAGCACCAAAGTGGTAAACATCTAAGACCTGCATCACTTTGGGTTTTCCTCGCACATTAAGCTGACACACCGTTATATAACTGGAATACTGTTGAAAGAGTTGTTAAACCCGACTCACTCACGAATGACATCTTGCGGAGGCAAGTGAGTTAACTGACTATGAAAGTCCTGTTTCCACCCTTGCCGAACTAGGCTGGAATTCCGGAGTTACATTTTGGCTGGACAAACGAGTCCATGCATAGTTCAATCAAAATCATGTAACGAACTAGACATCCGGTTCATAAACAACATGGATTTCAACGTGCAGATTTCTGTCGACTAAAGTATTTGCAAAGCATGTTTACCGCCAACTGGACGTCAACAGATATTTTGCCAATCTTTTCATGTTTTTAATCAAGGTGCTCAAGTGATTTAATGCATTTCGTGAGGTAAGGCCCATTTTATTACTATATGCATCTTGAATATCAATCAGATGGTCTTGACTGGGCACCGCCATTTTGTTTGAAGCAATTGCAAGTGATAGAAGAAGTGGAATCTGATTGGTCAGTGGGATGGACATGGAAGGGACATAACTTTTAATAGCCACTTATGGCGCTACAATTGAGCACAGAAATTCCAACATAGTTGGGCACGTGTGGAAACTGGACTTTTATAGTCAATAAATGCCCTTGCCATTGGAAGATGACTTATGATGATTACAGTCCGTGAACATTGTATTTAGCTTGAACTGATATGTCATCCAGTATTATTCATTTGCTCATTCTGTACAAGTTTATTTTGCATATACTCCTGGCCATGGTTTTATGTCAGTGTATTTTGTGTAGAGTATGCAATGGGGAAAGATCCCTCTCCAGTGGAGCGTCTGTCCTTTGGTGCTGTGGCGGGGCTGCTGGGCCAGTCGGCCTCCTACCCCCTGGACATTGTGCGCCGCAGGATGCAGACAGCAGGTAGGCACGGCAGGCAGTGAGGAAGGCAAACACAAAGGGGTGACTGTTGGTGGGGGAAGGAAGATAGCAGGTGAGGGAGGGCAGACAGCAGATGGGGAGGGCAGACAGCAGATGGGGAGGGCAGGCAGCAGGTGGGGAGGGCAGACAGCAGAAGGGGAGGGCAGACAGCAGGTGGGGAGGGCAGACAGCAGAAGGGGAGGGCAGACAGCAGAAGGGGAGGGCAGACAGCAGATGGGGAGGGCAGACAGCAGGTGGGGAGGGCAGACAGCAGAAGGGGAGGGCAGACAGCAGGCAGGGAGGGCAGACAGCAGAAGGGGAGGGCAGACAGCAGGTGAGGGAGGGCAGACAGCAGATGGGGAGGGCAGACAGCAGGTGGGAAGGGCAGGCAGCAGGTGGGGAGGGCAGACAGCAGATGGGGCGGGCAGACAGCAGGTGGGGAGGGCAGACAGCAGGTGGGGAGGGCAGAGAGCAGGCAGGGAGGGTAGACAGCAGACAGGGAGGGCAGTCTGTTGGTGAGGAGAGAAGATAGCAGGTGGGGAGGGCAGGCAGCAGGTGGGGAGGGCAGACAGCAGACAGGGAGGACAGACTGTTGGTGAGGAGGGAAGATAGCAGGTGAGGGAGGGCAGAGAGCAGGCAGGGAGGGCAGACAGCAGACAGGGAGGGCAGATTGATGGTGAGGAGGGAAGATAGCAGGTGGGGGAGGGCAGACTGTTGGTGGGGAGGGAAGATAGCAGGTGGGGAGGGCAGACTGTTGGTGGGGAGGGAAGATAGCAGGTGAGGGAGGGCAGACAGCAGATGGGGAGGGCAGACAGCAGGTGGGGAGGGCAGACAGCAGGTGGGGAGGGCAGACAGCAGGCGGGGAGGGCAGATGGCAGATGGGGAGGGCGGACAGCAGGTGGGGAGATCAGACAGCAGATGGGGAGGGCAGACAGCAGGCAGGGAGGGCAGGCAGCAGAAGGGGAGGGCAGACAGCAGGTGGGGAGGGCAGGCAGCAGGCAGGGAGTGCAGACAGCAGGCAGGGAGGGCAGACTGTTGGTGAGGAGGGAAGATAGCAGGAGAGGGAGGGCAGACAGCAGATGGGGAGGGCAGGCAGCAGGTGGGGAGGGCAGGCAGCAGGCAGGGAGGGCAGACAGCAGGCAGGGAGGGCAGGCAGCAGAAGGGGAGGGCAGACAGCAGGTGGGGAGGGCAGACAGCAGAAGGGGAGGGCAGACAGCAGGTGGGGAGGGCAGGCAGCAGGCAGGGAGTGCAGACAGCAGGCGGGGAGGGCAGACTGTTGGTGAGGAGGGAAGATAGCAGGTGAGGGAGGGCAGACAGCAGATGGGGAGGGCAGGCAGCAGGTGGGGAGGGCAGGCAGCAGGCAGGGAGGGCAGACAGCAGGCAGGGAGGGCAGACTGTTGGCGAGGAGGGAAGATAGCAGGTGGGTAGGGCAGGCAGCAGGCAGGGAGGGCAGACTGTTGGTGAGGAGGGAAGATAGCAGGTGAGGGAGGGCAGACAGCAGACAGGGAGGGCAGACTGTTGGTGAGGAGGGAAGATAGCAGGTGAGGGAGGGCAGACAGCAGATGGGGAGGGCAGACAGCAGATGGGGAGGGAAGATAGCAGGTGAGGGAGGGCAGACAGCAGATGGGGAGGGCAGAGAGCAGGCAGGGAGGGCAGACAGCAGACAGGGAGGGCAGACTGTTGGTGAGGAGGGAAGATAGCAGGTGGGGAGGGCAGACAGCAGATGGGGAGGGAAGATAGCAGGTGAGGGAGGGCAGACAGCAGATGGGGAGGGCAGAGAGCAGGCAGGGAGGGCAGACAGCAGACAGGGAGGGCAGACTGTTGGTGAGGAGGGAAGATAGCAGGTGGGGGAGGGCAGACAGGTGGAGAGGGCAGACAGCAGATACGAAAGGGCAGGCAGTAGTAGGTAGGGGTCCATGCAGACAGTAAGGGAGAAGGACTAGATCATGTTGATGCTGGAGTGTTCTTATACTGTTTCTTTGTCTTAACCTCAACTTTTTTGCCTATCAGATATATTCCATGTATATTAAAGTGCTCTGCAAATTAGTCCTGTTATTACCGTATTCGACGTAATAAGCGCCCAGGGCGCTCTCAAAATTAGAATATTATTTTGGTGAAAAAAGAAGTTGAAAGATAAATTATTTGGTTTATGCTCACAGCCTGAAATGTTTATGTACGACAGAAATATTTTTCCAGAATTTTATTGCCCATAATTAAGTGTGCATATAATACACGAGTGCATATTATACGTGAATAAATAAGTCTTGTAAACATTGATCAATCGGAAGGGGTGCTAATTGGGATTGTTCACTAGCCAATATATTAGCAAATATCTCCTTGGGCGCTTATTAGAGCGGGGCGCTTATTATGTCGAATAAGGTACTCTCTCTAGTTTTGAAAAGTGCTAATTCTATATCTGGCTTCATGTGTTCAATCTATTTTATTAACTTTAATCAACATTCCATTCAATATATGGTCTTAAATTTTGGCGAAATTGTGGGTGAACTGATCGGAAGATTACTTATAGCAAACCTGATCAGGCTACAACCATTGACAAACCACAGTTGCCACAGAATGTATACATACATCATAAATGCTATACTCTGACTTGTATTTGTATTTGTTGTTATTTTATGTCAATGTGTTGTTATCTTGATCAAAACTTGTGAAACCTTCATGTTGTCATCGCTGATTGGTTGACCTCAAAGGGTGACCCGCCAAAACTATACCATACGTTAAGAATAACCTGTAATATACAAAAGTGCTACCCTTATAGTGATTTCAAATATAAAAAGTAAAAGCATAACCACGACAGGTAAAATAACATGATATAAGAATATTTTATCTGGTTCAAATATAGTTTCAGATATAATGCTTTGTGTGATTGATGACATGTAAGGTAGGTCTACAAATTGTCTTGCGTACAAAATGTCCAGTCAAAAACTAGGTAAAACCACAGATAAAACACTGTTATCTTGCCCATACCTACAGAGCCGTTATCTTTATTCAAGCATGAGGAATGTGTGCTTCATCAGAAAGAAATGACTTTTTACTGTTACAGCCATTATGCAATATATCACATGACTAACCATGAGCCCATGTAGTCCTGTGGGTAGCCAGGTCCTACTCAGGAACCCCCTGTCTCAGCCCTAGACTAAACATTGGTGTATGTGAGACTGTGCTCACCCAGGTCCTACTCAGGATCCCCCTGTCTCAGCCCTAGACTAAACATTGGTGTGTGTGAGACTGTGCTCACCCAGGTCCTACTCAGGACCCCCCTGTCTCAGCCCTAGACTAAACATTGGTGTGTGTGAGACTGTGCTCACCCAGGTCCTACTCAGGATCCCCCTGTCTCAGCCCTAGACTAAACATTGGTGTGTGTGAGACTGTGCTCACCCAGGTCCTACTCAGGATCCCCCTGTCTCAGCCCTAGACTAAACATTGGTGTGTGTGAGACTGTGCTCACCCAGGTCCTACTCAGGATCCCCCTGTCTCAGCCCTAGACTAAACATTGGTGTGTGTGAGACTGTGCTCACCCAGGTCCTACTCAGGATCCCCCTGTCTCAGCCCTAGACTAAACATTGGTGTGTGTGAGACTGTGCTCACCCAGGTCCTACTCAGGATCCCCCTGTCTCAGCCCTAGACTAAACATTGGTGTGTGTGAGACTGTGCTCACCCAGGTCCTACTCAGGATCCCCCTGTCTCAGCCCTAGACTAAACATTGGTGTGTGTGAGACTGTGCTCACCCAGGTCCTGCTTGGGATCCCCCTGTCTCAGCCCTAGACTAAACATTGGTGTGTGTGAGACTGTGCTCACCCAGGTCCTACTCAGGATCTAGGTACTCGAGTTCCTCATCCAAACCCTTGACTAAACATTGGTGTGTGTGAGACTGTGCTCACCCAGGTCCTACTCAGGATCCCCCTGTCTCAGCCCTAGACTAAACATTGGTGTGTGTGAGACTGTGCTCACCCAGGTCCTGCTTGGGATCCCCCTGTCTCAGCCCTAGACTAAACATTGGTGTGTGTGAGACTGTGCTCACCCAGGTCCTACTCAGGATCTAGGTACTCGAGTTCCTCATCCAAACCCTTGACTAAACATTGGTGTGTGTGAGACTGTGCTCACCCAGGTCCTACTCAGGATCCCCCTGTCTCAGCCCTAGACTAAACATTGGTGTGTGTGAGACTGTGCTCACCCAGGTCCTGCTCGGGATCCCCGTGTCTCAGCCCTAGACTAAACATTGGTGTGTGTGAGACTGTGCTCACCCAGGTCCTACTCAGGATCCCCCTGTCTCAGCCCTAGACTAAACATGGGTGTATGTGAGACTGTGCTCACCCAGGTCCTACTCAGGATCCCCCTGTCTCAGCCCTAGACTAAACATTGGTGTGTGTGAGACTGTGCTCACCCAGGTCCTGCTTGGGATCCCCCTGTCTCAGCCCTAGACTAAACATTGGTGTGTGTGAGACTGTGCTCACCCAGGTCCTACTCAGGATCTAGGTACTCGAGTTCCTCATCCAAACCCTTGACTAAACATTGGTGTGTGTGAGACTGTGCTCACCCAGGTCCTACTCAGGATCCCCCTGTCTCAGCCCTAGACTAAACATTGGTGTGTGTGAGACTGTGCTCACCCAGGTCCTGCTTGGGATCCCCCTGTCTCAGCCCTAGACTAAACATTGGTGTGTGTGAGACTGTGCTCACCCAGGTCCTACTCAGGATCTAGGTACTCGAGTTCCTCATCCAAACCCTTGACTAAACATTGGTGTGTGTGAGACTGTGCTCACCCAGGTCCTACTCAGGATCCCCCTGTCTCAGCCCTAGACTAAACATTGGTGTGTGTGAGACTGTGCTCACCCAGGTCCTGCTCGGGATCCCCGTGTCTCAGCCCTAGACTAAACATTGGTGTGTGTGAGACTGTGCTCACCCAGGTCCTACTCAGGATCCCCCTGTCTCAGCCCTAGACTAAACATGGGTGTATGTGAGACTGTGCTCACCCAGGTCCTACTCAGGATCCCCCTGTCTCAGCCCTAGACTAAACATTGGTGTGTGTGAGACTGTGCTCACCCAGGTCCTACTCAGGATCCCCCTGTCTCAGCCCTAGACTAAACATTGGTGTATGTGAGACTGCTCACCCAGGTCCTACTCAGGATCCCCCTGTCTCAGCCCTAGACTAAACATTGGTGTGTGTGAGACTGTGCTCACCCAGGTCCTACTCAGGATCCCCCTGTCTCAGCCCTAGACTAAACATTGGTGTGTGTGAGACTGTGCTCACCCAGGTCCTACTCAGGATCCCCCTGTCTCAGCCCTAGACTAAACATTGGTGTGTGTGAGACTGTGCTCACCCAGGTCCTGCTCGGGATCCCCGTGTCTCAGCCCTAGACTAAACATTGGTGTGTGTGAGACTGTGCTCACCCAGGTCCTACTCAGGATCCCCCTGTCTCAGCCCTAGACTAAACATTGGTGTATGTGAGACTGTGCTCACCCAGGTCCTACTCAGGATCCCCCTGTCTCAGCCCTAGACTAAACATTGGTGTGTGTGAGACTGTGCTCACCCAGGTCCTACTCAGGATCCCCCTGTCTCAGCCCTAGACTAAACATTGGTGTGTGTGAGACTGTGCTCACCCAGGTCCTACTCAGGATCCCCCTGTCTCAGCCCTAGACTAAACATTGGTGTGTGTGAGACTGTGCTCACCCAGGTCCTGCTCGGGATCCCCGTGTCTCAGCCCTAGACTAAACATTGGTGTGTGTGAGACTGTGCTCACCCAGGTCCTACTCAGGATCCCCCTGTCTCAGCCCTAGACTAAACATTGGTGTGTGTGAGACTGTGCTCACCCAGGTCCTGCTCGGGATCCCCGTGTCTCAGCCCTAGACTAAACATTGGTGTGTGTGAGACTGTGCTCACCCAGGTCCTACTCAGGATCCCCCTGTCTCAGCCCTAGACTAAACATTGGTGTATGTGAGACCGTGGGTAGCCTGGTCCTACTCATCCCAGCCCTAGACTAAACATTGGTGTATGTGAGACCGTGGGTAGCCTGGTCCTACTCATCCCAGCCCTAGACTAAACATTGGTGTATGTGAGACTGTGGGTAGCCTGGTCCTACTCATCCCAGCCCTAGACTAAACATTGGTGTATGTGAGACTGTGGGTAGCCTGGTCCTACTCATCCCAGCCCTAGACTAAACATTGGTGTATGTGAGACCGTGGGTAGCCTGGTCCTACTCATCCCAGCCCTAGACTAAACATTGGTGTATGTGAGACCGTGGGTAGCCTGGTCCTACTCATCCCAGCCCTAGACTAAACATTGGTGTATGTGAGACTGTTGGTAGCCTGGTCCTACTCATCCCAGCCCTAGACTAAACATTGGTGTATGTGAGACCGTGGGTAGCCTGGTCCTACTCATCCCAGCCCTAGACTAAACATTGGTGTATGTGAGACCGTGGGTAGCCTGGTCCTACTCATCCCAGCCCTAGACTAAACATTGGTGTATGTGAGACTGTGGGTAGCCTGGTCCTACTCATCCCAGCCCTAGACTAAACATTGGTGTATGTGAGACCATTGGTAGCCAGGTCCTACTCAGGATCTAGTTACTCGAGTTCCTCATCCAAACCCTTGACTAAACATTGGTGTATGTGAGACTGTGAGTAGCCAGGTCCTACTCATCCTAGCCCTAGACTAAACATTGGTGTATATGCCTACTTGGGCAGCCAGGTCCTACTCAGGATCCCGCTGTCCCAGCCCTAGACTAAACATTGGTGTATACGCCTACTTGGGTAGCCAAGTCCTACTCAGGATCCCCCTGTCCCAGCCCTAGACTAAACATTGGTGTATGTGAGACTGTGGTGTTGCAGGTGTGACCGGTCACTCCAAGGACTACACCAGCATCGTGGGGACAGCCACACAGGTGATCAGGGAGGAGGGCTTCATCAGGGGCATGTACAAGGGACTCAGCATGAACTGGATCAAAGGACCCATTGCTGTCGGCATCAGCTTCACCACGTTTGACATCTCCGTCAGATGGTTGCGCACATTTGAGTTTTTCCACATAGACGATGAAACTTAGCTGTTACAACTGTAAGGTGCTATCTGTTAGCTGTGATATGACCACCTGTGATGTAGTGCAGGATCTGTGTGTCTGGACCTGTGTGCCAGGGCATGTGTGTCTGGACCTGTGTGCCAGGGCATGTGTGTCTGGACCTGTGTGTCTGGGCATGTGTGTCAGGGCATGTGTGTCAGGGCATGTGTGTCAGGGCATGTGTATCTGGACCTGTGTGTCTGGACCTGTGTGTCTGGGTATGTGTGTCAGGGCATGTGTGTCTGGACCTGTGTGTCAGGGCATGTGTGTCTGGGCATGTGTGTCAGGGCATGTGTGTCTGGACCTGTGTGTCAGGGCATGTGTGTCTGGACCTTTGTGTCAGGGCATGTGTGTCAGGGCATGTGTGTCTGGACCTGTGTGTCTGGGCATGTGTGTCAGGGCATGTGTGTCTGGGCATGTGTGTCTGGACTAGGTTGACTTGAGTACCACCGAAAATTCTAATTTACTGTAAGAAATGACTTGATTTACAAGACCGGACCAGTTTTATTTTTTGTTACCAAGCTTTTTGTTGCAAAGATGTGTGAGGCACAAAATAATGTCAGGAGGAAATAACAAAAATTGAAATTGATAACACAAGTATTGTTTTTAAGATACATATTCTAGGGGTAATGGTCTTGCATTCAATTAATTATGGAATCATTCACAAGTAGGACTTTGAAATAAATTGACAAATATGCATACGTGACATTAAACACAGCTTTTAGACATTAAGATAATAATACAAGGATCAGGTTCTGATCTCAGTGTAAGATAGAAAAGGGTCAGAGGCACAAATCAAGTTGATTCACCATCTTCAACATCTTAATGCACCATTATGTTAGCAAACAATGAATGATTGAGATCTGTTTCTCTTGATGAAATATTTGTGTTGTGTTAGTGTTGAAATGATTGAAATGTTGTCCTAACAGCATGACACTGCATTGTGAGTGTGATAATCCAGGGAAATGAGTGTGTGTGAATGTATGTGGTGCAGGGCATCTGACTACAGCTAGGTAGGTAGGTGCTCTATGTGACTTAGGTTGTTGTCAGGTGTGTACCCAACTTGGAGTTGTGAGGTGTTTTGTGTTTAGTTCCTTTCTATAAGCATCTGTTGACAACAGTTTTCACAAGGATAGGTAAAATTAACTTTTGAAAACTGTCTTTTCTGTCCTTGTTGAAGCATGAAAATTACGTTTTATGTTAATCCCTGACCTGGAGTCTTATTTTGAAAATCTGTAAATCAAGAAATTAATAACATGGTGCCTAAGGAGTGGATTTGAGCTAGGGTAAAAGTGGCAGGTCATCTGTAGTCAAAAACATAGAGAAATTCATATTCAAGTTTCTCCTAAACTGGGGCAAGTACATTTCAAGTGTATTTTCTTGTTGACAGATACTGTGGATTAAACTAGTCTGTTTACATGACTGAGTACGGCTGTCGTGTTAGCCATGACCCAATGTATGAAGATGGATTTACACTGAACACAAGTCCTGTTCTGTCTTCATGGCTTCTCCTTGTACTTCCTGACACACACATCCAGCAGCTTCCACATGAAGTGTCATCTCTTGGCAGAGAGACGTCTGCAACACAATATAATATACAGAGGGGCTGTTGGCGCCAGCTCCCTTGTAAATCTCCACTACCGAGGGCTGGCGACACTCAGTCAGCCTGACACAAGTCTGTGTACAACTGAACAATCTCTGGGTTTAACTTTACGTACTGATTAAATACAAGAAAAATGTATGAATCAAAACAATCTCTGGGTTTAACTTTACGTACTGATTAATTACAAGATAAGTGTATGTATCAAAACAGTCTCTGGGTTTACCTTTACGTACTGATTAATTACAAGATAAGTGTATGTATCAAAACAATCTCTGGGTTAACCTTTATGTACTGATTAATTACAAGATAAGTGTATGAATCAAAACAATCTCTGGGTTTATCTTTACGTACTGATTAATTACAAGATAAGTGTATGTATCAAAACAATCTCTGGGTTTACCTTTACGTACTGATTAGATACAAGACAAGTGTATGAATCAAAACAATCTCTTGGTTTACCTTTACCTACTGATTAATTGCAAGATAAGTGTATGAATCAAAACAATCTGAATAGGTGTATGAATCAAAACAATATCGGGGTTACTGATACACTAGGAGTGATTGCTTGTGGAGTATGTCATGCTGCATGTTGTTGTACGCCTGGCTGTTGGACGTAAGTACTGTGAGAAGAGTGATGATGCAGGCCTGGCAGGACACTGCGGTGTTTTCATAATACCAGCATTGCATAAATCAGCTATGTCCAAGGCTGTAGTTGGAGCAAAAACTGGTAACTTATCTAAATGAATAAGTTTAGATGTGCATATTTAAGACAATAGTAACCCCATCAGGAAGGTTGTATGGTAAAATGCATAACATTGACTCAGTGATTCCCATCTGATATTGATGCATCACTATGTTGCTTCAATCCTACAACACTGTAGACATCTTTGTGAAGCTAATACGTCTGTAGGTTCAACTCTGCGGTATAGTGATAAGGAGCTGTTCAGGTGTGTCTGCACCAGGACAGATATGGGTATACCTACATTCTGCAGAGCATTAGTGAATGTAGGATATGATGACACATAGCAGATTCTACCACCGTTTTCAATGTTCGGTCCGTCCAAACATAGCTGTAGACTTTTAGAAAGCTACACAGGCAGCTCTCCCTGTGTGTTTGTTGGATGGCATTCCCTGAGTGAGGGGCAGTGTTGATGTGCCCGACTCACTCTGTACTTCTCATCCATCCAGTTGTGTCCAGCCGTGTGTGATGGGGGCCTCATGGTGATCAGTATGTAGTCTGGGCAGAGCTGCAATCAGCTGAATACTTCTTCACAATACACTCAACTAACCTTGTACTGTATATTGGGAACTTTTACTATGTATGCTTTTTGTTTTGTATATTTAATATTTGTCATTTTCTTTCATTAAGGGTTGAGTCTGTTTCAGAACTCACCTCAAACCCACCTCTCTAGGCCGCGCAGCAAGAAGGTGGGAACACTTGTCATCTCTTGATAACTTCCTCCATAGCAGTTCAGTGTTTACATTTTTGTTTTACCATGGCAAGAGGATATTTACCCAGTTAGAGAGTTGTTTGTTTCTGTGTATCAGAGTGCTGTGATATGTAGATGTTGCACTGTTAGACCACATACCCCAGTCCAGCACCAGACTCATCAGTCAGTAGTGCAGTCAGTCAGTCCAACCAATCAAAATACACAGCTATATTTACTGCCAACCTGTGTAGATCCTTGTTGAAGTTGGACTTCCTGTGAGGCAGCGAGGTAGATGGTGCAATGTGTGCCAGTAGGTGACACACTGCTGTGTGGCATCACTTGTTATATCATGTTCAGTATTGCTGAGTGGCATTAGTCTGTATATTATATGTAGAACTTGTTGCTTCATCCAGTCCTGCCAGGGGAACTTCATATGATCACCAATGCATCCCATACTTGCCGTAAAAGACGACTACGCTTGTCGTAAGAGGCAACTAATTGGATCGGGTGGTCAGGCTCACTGACTTGGTTGATGCATTTCATTGTATCACAATTGCGTAGATCGATGCTCCTGATGTCAATCACTGGATTGTCTGGTCAAGACTCGATTTTTTACAGACCGCCATCATATAGTTGGAATATTGCTGAGTGCGGCGTTAAACAACAAACCAACAAAGATCTCACCATGCTATGCATGATATCCCTGTTGAAGTACAGCAAGTCATAGATGGAGGGGAGACAACTCTGTACACACTGTGGCCATACTAGGTCCCTGTTCCAGAAAGGCTATCACAGCAGTAAGATAATGCCAACTCCCATGTCTAACATAGACTTATGATAGCTGATGGCTATGTGGAATGGGACCCTGCATTCAAAAGTAGGAAGTTCCTAATCAATTTTCAGTACCGCATTGTATTGAGAGCTTGTATCTTGGATCTGTAAAGGTTACAATACTAAGACATTGAAACAATGTTGGATTGCGTTTTGTGATTTTGTTACGTCTGGAGTAAGGAATGAGGACCTGTATGTGGTGTATGCTGTTTGTACCAGATGAAACTTGGGTTATGTTTTGTCCTCAAGCATGATCTTTGCAATGAAATCTGATATTGAAACTCTCAGATGACAGTCATACTGAGATAGTGCTTCCTTATTCAACCTCTGTACATGTATTGGTGTGTATTGGATATTTAGTAAGTATGTATCAGAACATATATAAAGTTTGACTGTGTGTTATGTGAGTACTATGAACTGAGTCATATTGAGTAGCCGTTAATAACTATCAAATGCTATTAACCTCTGATTTGTCTGAGACTTGATCCTATCCTTACACAGGTAGCCATCTTAAACACAATCACTTTAGTTGTCTTGGTGTGATTTAGTATGAAGGAATTTTATGTGTGTCATCTTTGACATGAAACTGCTTGTGCTAATTAATGTAATTTTCATGTTCATAATGATGCCACTTTAATTTATTGATTTGTGTAAAAACATTGATGATTGTGTTTATGGATGTCTGCTTGTTAAACCTCCAGTTAAAGTCTCATTTAATCTCAAGTGTTGTATTACCATGAAAGTCAGGTGAGCTAAAGAGATTGTGCTGCTGTATTTGGTCACTTGACCCTGACCCCTAGTGTAGGGACTGACCTTGGGTCACCATGTCCACACAGTGATGGCGCATCTTACCTTGCCACAGAATTCTTACTCAGGGTACAGACTTTTAACCAACAAGTGTACAGTTGCTCACCTCCTTCTAAACAGGCTGTTATCCTAACTCGCCTTCTGTTATTAGCAAAATACTTCTAATGATGTTAATCAGAATCAAAATTAAGCACACACACTATTATTTCCAGAAATGGTTTGTAATATTCCAGAAAAATATCAAATATGTGACATTAGTCTTCATTTATTGTTTTCTACATGTGCATACAATTGTATCACTTGTATTGTTGACATTGTATTGATGCAGTTGTAATCGCAGTTTCCTGATGTGTGATGTGTGTGCAGGATGTGCTGCTGATGTGAGTGGTGTGTGACTCCCTCCACTGCCAGTATGTCTGTGTCACATGCACCACTCTGTGATGAAATCCTGATTAAATACTACTGCTGTTGAGTTGTTGTCTTTTCTTACTGTCAGTTGGTAGCCGCTGGGAGGTGCATGAAATTACTCTTCAGGGAAATACTCCTGGCAGAAACATTACTGTTTGTGTGATGTATTCAGCGCTGATATATGTACGTATCTACCACTGCTACATGTGCGTACAAGAACACTGCATGTGTTGCCAGATGGTCACAAATACTGAATCATATGGTGCACAAGCAGATTATTCCCCCAGAACATTATTACAGGATACATTCTTGACCATTATATGTGGACATACACAGCCAGTAGTGCCTGATTATGTTCCAGGTGTATATATGTTGGTATCAAGTCCTCAACATCCCCATTTCCAACAAGCCAAATACAACCACTTTCACAATTGTTGTACTATCATGACTACCCTGGCTGATCTCATAGATCATATACTTCCTACAAGATGGTTGCTGGTTGCTGATGCATGTTATTATCACATTTAAAAAAGGAGGAAGTAATACTGATCAATAAACATGTTACCCTTATGTAACCGGGGGTGTTCATGAATAACACAGGTCGTTATTTGTCTTGAGGATTTTTTTTCAGAACAAACGCCCTGAAACATATTAAACTCAAAGATAAATATACACGTAAATATATATGTATGTTAATATACACAAACATAGATATATAAGAGCACATCACATTATATTCATTCACATCGTCACACCGACGACATCATAGAAATAGATAGAACTCTTGCTTTCAACAAATACATTGAAGGATGTGTTATAACTTACAATAACTATATATACATTTGTATCCCTATACATGTGTAATAACATGATAAATACAATTAATTAATTTCATTAATACACACGAAAACACAAGCATACCCTGTAGGTGAAACTGGGGCTGGAACTGCGTTCACCAACGCAACTGACAGGACTTATGGTGCCTGCATCTAAATACAAATACAAAGACAAATATACTTACTTAGGTAAAACGGGTTACCTTAGAAAACATGAATTATGTGTTACACATAACATACCAATGAATGTTTTACATTATACATAAATAACATTGTCATAAGCAAACACATACATCATAAATACATACCCACTCGCTCATTCATTCTCAAATGAAACATTTAGGAAAGGTGAAGATATACAGTGCTAACCTAGTTAAAACATTTACATGGCTGCAATTATATGACTATATGTAATGACCTATCTAAATATTAAGACTGTAATACTACAGCTGATTACACAAATAGATGCAAGTACATTATAACAATACGTACAGAAACATTACTAACCTATTTGGACGGTCTCAGATGAAAATACTACACAGAGCAGATATTTGTTGTCTGCGTGGTCAAGGTGTAGTGGCTGGTGTGCTGGTTAAATGCTGGGTGTTGGTATTTGAAACAAGGCCAATCAGGCGCAAGCTGTACTAAACAAAGGACTGACCCAAGCTACCTACTCTACCCCACAACCAGTAGAACTCCACGCAGAGAACAAGTCGTTATGCAGAGCTGTAGAATACAGCAGCCTTACAGGTTTATTTAATTCAATTCAACATAATAAAAGGTTAAAACACCATTTCATTACAAAACATTATATGTATACAAATATATAAAATACAGAAAATATACATATATACAACACTGCCACACTTAGATTGTAAATTAGCATTCAGATCAAAACTTCATCTGTCTTAATTAGCTTGATATGTTATCCTGATATAGCGATCAGCATGTCCGTCCGTCCGCCTGTCTGTCCACCATCCCCTTTCCATTTCTGGAGCAGAAGTCCTAAACGGTTGAGTATTTCTTGTTGAAATCTTCTTTACAGATCAGTCCATTGGTGAACTGGTGCCTTTTGATGATTTGAGATATTTTTTACGACGACAAGTTTGACTTATACTGAAAATGATGGAAGTACCTGTTTCCAGAGCAGAACTCCACAATTGTCCAATATTTCTAGATGCAACTTGCTATACACATCAGTCCTGTGGTGAAATTGTGTCTTGATTATTTGGAATTTTGAAAAATACTGAACAGTATTATATTTTTCTTTCTTGAACTGAAGAAATATTTAATGGAAATGAACCAAAACTGGGATATAAGTAACAAACTCCAGTTTTGAATTGCACCTGACTCAGGGGATATGTCCTCTCCTGATGACTTGTTACAGTAAGATATCATGCATCATGGGAATTTGTCACTGTACCCAAATTAAAATATTTATTTTTATGAGGCCTCAAAGAATACATGATCCTAAAAAAGATTATTTGTATGTGTGCAGCTATGAATTTCTGTATTTTCACACACACATAAACACACACAATGTTTTTGTTATTTTTTATATTGTTAATGTATCGTCGGGTAATCTCTTTCAATTATATTATCATTGTAACCCTCCTTAGGGACGATTCCGATTTCGTTCTTGCCACATGCCAGCTTTCATACAAACCTTGAAAACAGTATGGCGTCCATCAGAGGAAATGGACTCGCATACTTGTAGGAACATTGAATGTACCACAACAATACGGCGATATATTCAACACAATGCACATATTCGGATGGCAGATGCGTCTGTCGTCCTGTTGGCAAAGTGGACCTGAACAAATGATGATCTTACCTACGTAATGTATATTTACAGACACCATGTTCGAGGATAGATCGGCTTAGTTGTTCTTGATCATCACACTACTATTTTATTCAGGATTCGTAGGCTTAGCAGTGTACACAACATGCCATACAGTATGCCATACGTGTGGTTTAGGTACATCTAAACCATGATCTACATAGCAGAGTATTGCATAAACTGAGGACACTTGGTTTCGATACAGTTTTGTTTTTGTGAACGACCTCTACTCCGTACTCGATTCTGTCAAAGCTAGTACACACGTTCAAGAGTTGAATGAGAGAAAGTACTATTTGTGCCTAGAGACATCACAGATACTTACCTGAGACTATGGAATCAGACTTATCAATGACTTGTGATCCGGGGTTGGGCGTCTCCCCAGACGTGTCTTCAGATGACTGCAAACATAGACAAGCTCAGTCAGATTTCAATCAAATAACCGAACGCAGAGAGCGTCTTTGGGAAGGCTTCATCACTAAAGATAGGCTTGATGATGGAGAACAAGAAACAGTTGATACTGAGTTAGGCACAGACTGTAATGAGGACCTCTCAACCACTTTACAAGTGGGTTTTATACAGAACAGCTACAACCATGGTTCCTTCACAGATAATGTTACCATGGTCACCCAAGATGTGTGTAGTGACGGGCAGGTCAAAGGTAAGGCTGGCATCAAAGTGAAGAAAAAGAAATCTTATATTTGTGACATATGCGAGAAGGTGTTCAACAGAAGTGACAATTTGAAGATTCACATGCGTGTTCATACCAATGAGAAGCCATACTTGTGTGTGGTGTGTAATAAAACATTTTCTCGCTCACAGCATCTCACAACACACATGCGTTCTCACACTGGTGAGAAACCTTTCTCCTGTGATGTATGTAACAAGAGGTTTTCTGAGTCTAAGAGTCTACAAAACCACCGCAAAACACACACGGGTGAGCGTCCGGACAAATGTGATTTGTGTGGGAAATGCTTTACCCACTCAGGCCACCTCAAACGTCACATGATGACTCACACAACAGAGAAACCATTCAAGTGTGGTTTATGTGACAAAATGTATACACGCTCAGAAAACCTAGAGAAGCATATGAAAGTACATGCATCATGTGAAGTCTATACTTGTGACAAATGTGACAAACGATTTCTCTCCACAGAGAGACTGGATCTCCATTTGAGGTGGCATGCCGGGGAGAAAGTGGCTATATGTGAAATCTGTGATAAGCTGTTCACTAAGCTGGATTACTTGAAGAAGCATGTGAAGGCCATGCATACTGAACAAACAGGGTTCAAGTGCCAGTACTGCAGCAAGGTGTGCAGCCTCAAGAACAACCTGCGCATACACCTGCGCACACACACTGGTGAGAAGCCCTTCAGGTGTGAGGTGTGTGGTAAAACATTCAGTCAGTCATCACAGGTGAAGTCACACCTGCTAACTAACCACCAACAGTTGCATAATCCTGATGACAGTGACAAAGGTGTGTTCATGGTGGGGAGTGAGGAGGAGTCATCACTGACAGCAGATTGAGTAGTTTGCTCCACGCGCTTCTTGTAATGGCTGTTGTGAACTGTGGTTTGTTGTGATATGATTATAAATCTTAAAATACTGTCGGAAATGCTAGAAAAATGCTTTTTGTCCGTAAGTTTGTCACAGACTGTTGCTATTGTAATATCAAGTAACTATCGATCGACTTTCCTGTGGTTGGAAGTATTTCAATCAAAAGGAGTCCTATCGACAAGTTTAAAGGAAAAATTCGAACGAAAACAATAAGTTCACATTTATTCTAAGCGCAATGATGGTAGTCTCAAACAGACTATAGAAATATGCGCACGTGACTCCGTTATAATGATAACAATGTAGTCTTCATAAAACATCTAGTCTACACAAAAGAAATCATATGGAGAAAATTCTACATGTGCATCTTCTTAAATAAAAAAAAATGATGCTGTGTTTGTTTTGTCAGCACTGCTCCCATGATGTATGTTACTTTACCATGTTTACACTTGCATAGCCATAGCCATGGTACACGACATGGAATCTGTATTGGGAAACTTGCATAGCCATAGCCATGGTACACGACATGGAATCTGTATTGGGAAACTTGCATAGCCATAGCCATGGTACACGACATGGAATCTGTATTGGGAAACTTGCATAGCCATAGCCATGGTACACGACATGGAATCTGTATTGGGAAACTTGCATAGCCATAGCCATGGTACACGACATGGAATCTGTATAGGGAAAGTTCTTTCACTTTTTAGAGAGATAGAGGGTAACCATTTATAAGTTTAGATAGGTCAGAACTGCCCAAGCCTAGGGTTTTTTCAATTCATACCATCAAGTCTATGGATTGATAAATAAAACAAAAAGGTTTAAGGGCGGTCTCAAAAACGAAACCGGGACGTAAAAGGATATAGTGTAAAAACTTTATGAGCAGAAGGTACCCCTGACTTGTAAAATTTGGGAGGAAATTAAAGATACAATTAATGTTTCCCGGACTGCACTAAATATTGCCAATTTCGATACACTGAGCGTCCGATGACCGGGCAATTTTCAGGGGAAAATATTCCTTTTTGTCGATGAGGTCACATTATCTCAGCACCATTCATCGCAGTCAGGGCTTCCAGATCATTTACTTTGATGAATCATTCCACTGACTACATGTGGCTATCGGCAGAAGGACAAAAAGCCCCCATGGTACCATCAGGTTAAGGTAATCATGTCATTGTTTTACATGCCGCAACCCGTGATCCGGGGCGTATTGATAGATGTGTGCTAGTTTTCGAGGCCAAAAAGAAAACTGGTGATTTTCATAAGGAAATTATATTAGGTGATGTGTTCTTTGACTGGTTGGAACATCAGCTATTGCCGATTTTAAACAACCCAAGTGGCATTTAATATAACGTCTGGGAATAAGATAGTATTGCCCAAACCATGAGGCAAGCATGCAGGAATATATGTCATTGTCAACTTCAGACCATCTGAAACGAAAGTTCAACTTATGGAGAAAATTTGGCTAAATAAGCAACCAGTAAAGCGGCGCAACACAGTCACGCTGTCTTATGTACACCAGTCAGGCATTGTGAGCTCAAACCTATTGTGCCTATCTTGTCTAACTGTAAAGGGTTTGTGGCAAGACCTTAAACAACATTCCAACTCACACATGTCAAACTCAGTCTTTGCTAGATATCAGCCTTGTTGAACCAGTAATCATACCTTTGGATGTTAACATGGTTAGAATTGTTCATATTCGTCATCAGGGGAGATAGATGCTACCTCAAGAAATCATCTGTAGAACAACAAATACTTCTTGATTCCCAAACCGCAATCTTCCAATACTCATCCTGTTTCATAGCTTTAAACTATTTCATCATTTTTCCAAAGAAATATAATCCAGTACATATCCTTAATTGCTATTTTATCAACGCACATGTCCATTAAGTTCAACAACAGAAATATTTTGAGACCCCGAATTCAGGTGACCTGTAAGAATGCACAGGGCCGTGTGAGGTCATCACCCCAGGACAGGTGTTAGGTAAATTACCTCAGGTTCATGGCCGTCTCATACATGTACATGACAACACTCGAATATTTTCTAAGTTTATCATCATTTTACCTGTAAAAGTACATTTTAAGGGTAATCACAGTGTCATTTAGTTAGGCTAGATTAGGTCAATTTGTGTTACTTTGATATATGCTATTTTCATAGCCCTATGATTTGTATTTAATTAATGATGCCAGAAAAGCATTTTTATAGCATTTCCAATCATACTTTAGTTCACCTGGATCATCCATATTTGTAACACGAGGTGTGTGTGTGCTGCAATCCTTTTGGACTTTTCACTGCATACACACGGCATATACACATGGCATACACACATGGAGAATACATTTTTTATGAGTATCATGTCCATATTTGTATTAACCATGTTAAACTTTTTGTGTTTTCCAATTTATCTGTTATTGAGCATGTTCAGTAATGATGTGCTATTATATTATACATATTTGCCATGTTAAGCATGCTAATCTCCACACTCCATCTAGACTATTGAATCTGTACTGTTTATGGGTCCTGAACATTTAGTCCCAGAAATACATATAGCTTGTGTATTGATTTGATAAGAGCCTCTTTGTCAATTGTCCAAGCGTCCTTGTTGTTATTAGCATGATTAGTCACATTACAGCAAACATGATCTGTAAATGTGAAAGCTCTGATGTTTCTGGGAGGGGAATACCCTGGAACCTGAAAACAGTTATTCAGATAATGTTTATCTACCACATGTTTACATGTGTCCTATGTTTTGGATCTCTTTTGAAATGTTAAATACGAGGGCTGGCTGAAAAGTTCTAATCCTAAGTGGGATATCTCAATCGGATTGAAACAAACTTTTGCCACCAACAAGTACAATCATTTAATGAATCATAGACATAAGAACCGCAACTCTAGTGTTATTATTGTCTTTGTACCAGACCATCTTGTGAACCTACCCATTGAAATCACCAGAAATGGACAAAACTGGCTATAGGGCAGTCATCAAGTACCTGCAACTAAAAGGGCTAACTCCACTTTAGGGGATGATGCCCTTTCCTTTTCCGCTGTAAAGAAGTGGGCTGCGGAATTCAAGCGTGGCAGAGAGAGCTTTGATGATGACCCGCGTCGAGGAAGGCCTTCAACAGCAACCATTCCGGAAAACATTACCCGGGTGCATGACATGGTGATGGCTGATCGACGATTGACCACTCGACATATTGCCAGTGTTGTGGGCATCTCTCATGAGAGGGTTGAGCACATTATCACCAACGAGTTGGGAATGACAAAAGTTTCTGCAAGTTGGGTGCCAAAGCTCTTGACAGCGGATCAGAAACGTGTCAGATTCCTGATGTCCCGTGACAATTTATGCCGTTTTGAAGCAGATCCCGATGATTTTTTGTTCCGATTTGTAACCATGGATGAGACCTGGATTCTTCACTTTCAACCAGAAACCAAAATTCAGTCTAAACAATGGAAGCATCCGGAATCACCAGCCCTCCAAAAAGCCAAGTCGGTTCCTTCTGCTGGAAAGGTGATGGCTTCAGTCTTTTGGGATTCCAATGATATTGTGCCGATTGACTATCTTGAAAAAGGCCAGACTATCAATGGAAGATATTATGCTGACCTAGTGAGACAGTTGCGTGAAGCTATCAAAGCTAAGTGACGGGGAATGCTCACTAAAGGAGCCCTGTTCCACCAAGACAATGCTCCTGTTCACAAATCGGTGGTTGCCATGTCAGTGATCCATGATTGTGGCTTCACTCATTGACCATACCCCTTATTCACCCGATTTGGCCCCGTCAGACTTCCACCTGTTTCCCAAAATGAAAAAGGAACTAGCCGGTCGCCATTTTCCTAGTAATGATGATGTCATTTCCGCTGTGAATGACTCTTTTAGGGTGGCTGAAAAACATTTCCTCTTGACCAGCATCCAGGCCTTGCAGCATCGCTGGCAAAAGTGTTTAACCTGGAAGGGGACTATGTGGAGAAATAAATGAAAACCATCGACTTGGTACGGGTCTTTCACAGTTAGGCTTAGAACTTTTCAGCCAGCCCTCGTATAAAACAACCCAGACCAGCATTGATCAGTTATTACATTTTCCAAGATTAGTCTAACTTTCAAAGTGTGTTCATATTTGGGTTTTAAAACTGAATTAATGATTTGCAACCAGTCAACATCATCAGTTGATAACTATTAATGTTTGTTGTTGACAGTGTTGGACACCTGGTGCAGTTGCAACATCAGCACAGTACAGACAGCAACAACATTAACTTATCAGTGGTGGGGATAAGATACTTCTTGTTTATTGCATTAGTGATGGTTCCATGCAGATTCTTACACCATTTACAAGTTATTATCCATAGAGTTATACATTTTCTTATTTACTCTCTAACTTCTGGAATGCCAATGAAAACAGTTACTGGTGGGGAGACTGCCCAAGAGGGGATTGCATGACAATATTTAAGTTTTTTTTTATCAAAATGAATGAAAAAATCCACTGCCAACATGAAAGTCTAAAGTCATTTAAACTTTTGTCTATATAGTTTCGTTTATTCTTCTACTAAACTGATATTAAAATATTGTCAATAAAATGTGCTGATCAGAAATGTTGGCTGTTACTTTGTTGTTAAACCCCATTTCTTCTCACCCACCTCCGTTCTCATAGGACACTACTCTCTCCTCCCTGTTGGTGCTGGAACTCCACCGGGCATACTGTAGGTGCGTCAAAACACAGCCATATTCGATTTGAAATGTCCTAAACAGCATTGTTTTCACACTTGTTAAAAAATGTCATGGATTAAAACAGTAAAGCAAAATGCATGTGCAAGTTATTGCATTCGTAACTCGTGGTAGTGGCAATAAAAAGGCAAGCATAAGCCAATAATTTGTCATTCAATTGTCAACATTTTTCAAGTTCGAAAATGCCGAGACTCAGTGCTGCAGATCAGAACATCGCCACAGGACGTATCCAAAGAGGGTAATCGCAGTCTTCTGTTGCACGCCACTCCAACGTCCACCAGAGCACTATTTGCCGCCTTTGGGACCGATACACACTGTTCAATTCCACTGCAGACCATCTGAGAACCGGCCGACCAAGAGTTACTACCCCTGCACAAGATCGCTACATTCGACTGTTCCACCTACGACAACGCAATGTCACAGCTACAGAGACTGCAGGATGCATCCCCGGTTTGAGGAGGATATCGGACCAGACTGTCAGGAACCATCCTCGCGAGGCTCATCTTCCCGAGGCAAGAGAGTTAACTGACTTAAAAGTCCAGTTTCCACCCTTGCCGAACTAGGCTGGAATTACTGGGCTCGATCGTAGCGCCACCAGTGGCTATTTCCAGTTATGTCCCTTCTAACGCCTATCCTATGGACCAATCAGATTCCAACTCTCGTATCACTTGCGTTTGCTTCACACAAAATGGTGGCGCCCAGTCAGGACGATCTGATCGATTATCAAGATCTATATTGTGATAAAACGGGTCTTACATCCCGAAATGCATCAAATCACATGAGCACCTTGATTAAAAAACATGAAAAGATTTGGAATTATATCTGTTGACAACGAGGTGGCGGTGCACATGCTTTGCAAATACTGCAGTCGGTCGAAATCTGCACGACAGTTTACGGATCGGATTTCGATTTCGGTGCGCGATTTTGATTGGACTATGCATAGACTCATTAGTCCAGCCAAAATGTAACTCCATAATAGTTCGGCAAGGGTGGAAACTGGACTTTTATAGTCAGTTAACTCACTTGCCTCGGGAAGATGCGCGAGGCTGGAATCCGAGCAAGAAGACCAGTTACCATCCCTGTTTTGCAACAGATCCATGGACACCGACTCTTGCGTTGGTGCCATACCTGACAGCTTTGGAATTTGAGAAACTGGAGATGAGTGTGGTTTCGCTATGAATCACGGTTTCTGCTTCACCGGCGAGATGGAAGACAACGTGTTTATCATCGTCGAAATGAGCGTTTTGCCCCACATTGTGTACATGAATTCGATAAATTCGGTGGCAGTAGTATCATGAGATCTGACTTGGTTGTGGTTCAGGGAAATTTGACAGCATATCACTACATGAATCAAATTCTTCTTCCAATTATTGACTTCCAGAGGGAGTTGTTTCAACAGGACAACGCCCCACCGCACACAGCTCGTGTCATGGTAGACTACATTCATAATGCCAACATCAACGTCTTGCCCTGGCTGTCGAGATCTCCAGACATCAACCCAATTGAACACCTCTGGAAAGAAATCGATCGACGTGTACGTCAACGTCAGAACACGCCACAGTCCCTCCCACAACTGGCCAACGCGTTACAAGCAGAATGGCGCAGAATTCGACAGGACAGAATTCGTACACCTATCCAGTCAGTGCCGGGTAGGTGCAGAGCCGTGATTGCTGCTGTCACACGAGATACTGAGTTCAGCGCAACCTTGTGGCCTTGTGACATGACAATGAAAAGTTTTCAGTGCCTTGTACAACGACAACATGTGACTTTCGAGCTCCATTTGTATCTATGATATTAAATTAATATATCGACTTTATTAGGTACAATGAATTTACTAAAAATCTAGCTGTGCGTTTCTTTTTTTGAAGAGTGTATGTTAAAGGATGGAAGTCACGATCATGACAGCGCCAAGATCTGTTTGTGGGACATGGCCCAGGTAAAGCGGAGCTACTTGTGTGTAAACATCACCCGAGTAGAGGTGCCCCCATTGTTTGACAGCCTTTACCTTGTGACATCAACGTGTAAGCGTCAGCCGAACAGTGGACGGGAAGACAGATGGCACCCTTGTTCTGATCTAGCGACTAGGTTTTCATGAACAATCTCGTATCACTTTAAACATAGTTCGACCGTAGCTGACCAGGATATATACTGAGGACTTGAAACGAAAACTCGATTCTATAGATTTACACAAAAGACAGTGTCAACAAATGAAGAAACACGTGCACAAGTTCAGCTTTCTCTGTCGGACAGTTTCAGAGGTGATGTTTACAGTGTGCAAGGAAATGCATTTTGAGAGTTTAAGAGCATGGTCGAAGTGTAAAGGTCAGTCTAGGTCAAACTTTAAGATGTCGGGTATCTGCTGAGCCCATCTTCTACAAACATACATTACATTTTCAAGATAATTATGACTCGTGTGGTGGTCAGGCTGAAGACCGGATGCTTAACACAAACACAAATTCCTATCTGTAGAAAAGGCCACTGTGGTGTACAAAGTTCAGTCCTTACACGTCTTACTGAATTGCGTGAGAAACTTGTCACTGTTTCAACGGACAAAGCATCAAACAAGACCACGTTTATTTGTAGAGATCACTCTGTGATCTGTCTACACAAGCAACTTGACATTGATGGGGTATACTATTCCAACATGCAATTGCCAGTCATTGTCTGACAAGTAATTATGTGACAAATATGAATTATTTCTACTGCTGGAGGATGTTCTGTAACATCTGACAATCAATCATTTCCAGCGTTATTCTGGATTTCTAAGCTTTATAAAAATCCATATGAGATATACATGTATATTGCAGGGTACAGAAAGTGTGCCACCAAATGCTTGTCAAGACTACTAACAAGAAATCTGACAACCATCCAAAATAGAAGTGACAAAACCCTCCCCATAGCCATAAGAATTATTCTGCAAGCGAAGTCCATTGTATGATTCCGACTATATCATTGGCATGTGTTTATTGATCTCTATCAAACAGAGATGATACCAGGCGTTCGCGAAAAGGGGATCGTATCCTTCCCCATCGGTGGCATCTTTCACAAACACATGCAAAGGTAAATCAATTGTTCACTTAAAACAACAACACTGGAACACATGGTACAAGGTATAATAAGGAATTGCATCGGGCACCATTTTGGCCACTGATGGGTCAACTTG